GGTTTAGGGTTTAGGGTTGTTTAATGATATGGGATTTAGGGGTGTAAGATTTCGGTGTGCAAGTCTTTCTGCTACCCACTCTCGTCACAACTAGGCGAGGCTCGCACGTGAATTTCAGCCTCGCATCTTCTTACTGGGAGGCCTTTGGACTCGTTACTTCTCAACTCACGCGCCGCTTATTTCCACACCCGTCACTGACAGTTGCATTTCAGACAAAGCAGTAGCCCTGAAACTTAACAGGTAGGCCCAAAGGCCACTTCAACGTGGTCGCGGCCATCCTTCTCCTCTTACTCGTCCCTTTCGTCGGGGTCGTCGTCGACATGTCTATAATAAAAGTGTTTGTCCGTACACGATTCTGTTTTGAGTGCATGAGCGCATGCCATCTTTTCTACCAGCGGCTTGTCCTTCCGACAAGTTAGCACTCACGGCGCTGCGCGGTTTCTGCGCCTGCACGTGCCTCAGTTCAGGCCTGCGTTTCTACCCTTCGGTTCCCGGACGATTGGGGCCACCACTTGGAGGATCATGGGACTTNNTAAGTAAGGTTATAAGTCCCTTCCTTGGGTCTATATAAGTGAATATAAGTATAGCTACCTTAACTATAACCCTACTTACTAAGTCCCATGATCCTTTAAGTACCACCGCCCCGATGGTTTCCTGCAGCTCGGCGGTGTCCTCTCTCCGTTTCTTGCTTGGCCTCCGGGACAGCCTTCTGAGCTAAGCAGGCGTTCGAACCGTGTTTTGCCAACTTAACCCGCAGTCATGGAATATCCTTGCGTTAAGAGATGCTCTTTCCCTGCTGGCCTCTTGCTTTTGAGGCTGGACGCCCTAAACCCTAAACCCAGTCTTCTTGCATGATTTGGTCTTAGTCGTGTTGTTCTGCGCGCTGGCTTTCTGCCATGCGAAGCCAGCCGCACTGGGAGCCTAGGGGTCTGCATCTGTTGTTCCGGGCAGGGTTTTAGGGTTTAGGGTTTAGGGTTTAATGGTTTATGGATTTCACACCCCACCTCCCCGATCGGGGGTAGCAGAGGCCAACAGACAATTGACGTGCGTTCTTTCGTCGTCTTCCGTGTTCTCATTGCCGTCCCTGCGCTCCCTCCTCCCCTCTACTCCGCCACCGCGTTCGGCATCACAGAATGTCCCCACCCCCAATGTAGGGCCAGCGGTTTCTAATAGACATCCTGTGACCAGCCAAGGGTGATCTCTACCCCCCGCCTGTTATCGGATCCTCTGTAGGAATCATTCGGAGCATTTGCGGGACCGGCTGCCCTTGCAGGTATCTTCGGTAGAATCATGCAGGTCGAAAATAAATACCTCGAAAAGACATCTCGCTCGCTCTAGAACCAGCGAAGCCTGGTGTATCCTAATACAAAGACTTCCCAATAAGTGGTAGGAACCAAGAAGAGCACTAGTATGCAGAACCCTGACATGTTGCAGAGTGGCCCTCTCCGGGCTGCCCTTAGATGTCCGCTGCCTGTACATTGGCTTGCAGGCCCTCCGCGCCCACAAAGGACGTCGTTGCACGGTCTATTGTGGTTAAGGTTTAGGGCTTAGGGTTTAGGGTCAGGGTTTAGGGGTTTAGGAGTTTAGGGGTTTAGGGTTTATTGTTTAGGGATCTGGGATAGAAAGGGTTTGCCTCCCGTGTCTATGGAGGATACACATAGGGTTCAGGCTGCAGTTGAAGGGTACAGGCATAATCCTTTCGGGGCCTTAATAAGAACAAATATTTTTTTTGTTGGGGGGGGGAGGGGGGGCTCCTTACTATGATGATAGTATACCTTAATAATAAGAATAAGGTTTGTTGGGGTTCCACAGTCAAACGATAGTAGAATATACCCCAAACCCTATTCTGATTATTATAGCCCCTGTATTACCGCGGCTTCTGAGTTAAACCCTAAACCCTAAACCTGGGCTTGAGTGGTCAGATGGATGACGGAGACTGGCTCGAGGGCATGATCGCCGGTTTAGGGTTTAGGGTTTACGGCTTAGGGTTTAGGGATGCCGTTAGATCCGTCAGCCCACTGCAGAAACAGATCGCTCCCGTCCAAATGGAGGATACCTTAATTATAACCCTACTAACTAAGTCCCATGATCCTTGAAGCAATCTGGCACATTCGCAATGCCACTAGGGTTTGGGCCAAGTTAGGGGCTGGAGGTGTGCATTTCGAATGTCTTTTAGTTCGACGGAGGAAATTTTCAAACCCTACCTATAGTCTCCATTGTAATTCTTTTTGGGGGATACCTTATAAAATCCTTAATATATATTTTGGTTAAACCAAAAAAAGGAACTACAATGGAGACTATAGGTAAACAGGAGCAAGCATGCAGGGCCAGGGCTCGATGCGCAGTGAAACTCTTTGGTTGCAGGCCAACTCATTGCGAAGGATCCGTGCCAGCCTCGCCACTACTGCTTCTGGGTTTCTTGTTGAAGGCAAGGATTAAGGCTCAAGGGCTTAGGGACCACAATGGTGCATTGAACCTTGGCAGCTCGAACTCGTCATAAGGCGGGCATTCGTACCAGGGAAAAGCTATACTTGAGTGGTTTTCCCTCCTACTTAGCAAGGATGTTTGAGGCTTGAAGGATGTTTGAGGCTTGAGGTTCTGAGTTTGAAGACAAGGCGAACACCCAAACCAGCAAAGTTCTGACATGTTGGGAAGTCGTCAGTCGGAAAGGACGAGAAGACTGACTGACGCCTTTATGGACTCCGTTGCCCAGAGGACTTTTAAGATCCGGTGCGGCTTCCTCAAAAATAGACAGGCCCTCATTTCCAATCGAGAATTCGGATCCTACTTCTTCTAGGTTACTTCTCCTATCCTACTAAAGCGGACCCAAACCCTTCTCAGATGTGAAAGGCAATCCACTCCAATCCCAACCCTCTGCAAAATGCTCGTACTGTCGCTCCCACGCGTTGGCGCTCAAGTGCCCGATTCCGGGCTTCATGAGTCGAGTTGGGAGGTCTCCCCGCAGGGGTTTAGGGTTTAGTTAGGGTTTTGGGTTTAGGGGAATGACCCTAGATCTATGTAGCATTTTTGCATCTGAACTCATCGTTACAACGCTTTGGTGTCTTATCCCTCTCGCTTCTTTTGGTCTCTTTGCTTTTCTTCCCGCAAGCTTACAGCATACGGCCTCCACTGTCGCATATAACCCTAAACCCTAAACCCTAAACCCTAATTGTTCTTCCCGCAAGCTTACAGCACACGGCCTCCGCTGTCGCATATTGCGGCACCTCCGTCTCTGGTCCTGCAGATCTTACTTAAAGGATCATGGGACTTAGTAAGTAGGGTTTAGGGTTTAGGGTTTAGGGTTTAGGGATCATGGGACTTCGTAAGTAGGGTTATAGTTAAGGTCACTATACGTATATTCACGTATAACCCCAATTACGGGACTTATAACCTTACCTACTAAGTCCCATGATCCTCCAAGTAGCGTTCTCTGACCCCTCAAGCATGTGTGTCGGCTCAGGCTATCAGATCTACCTATAGTCTCCATTGTAGTTTCTTTTTGGGGATACCTTATAAAATTCTTTTTATATATTTTGGTTAAACCAAAAAATAAAGAACTGCAATGGAGACTATAGGTAAAATACAGACTGCAGATGGGCTGTTTGGCTTATACCTTGGGAGTTTTGGAGCTTGCAGGTTGCAGGGGTTAAGGCTCCATGTCCCATGTGGCTACCCGGCTACCCATAGGGCCCCATAGTAGTTCCTTTTTGGGATTACCTTATAGGATTCTAAATATGAACCCCAAAGAGGAACTACTATGGGGCCTATGGGTAAACCCAAGTATACTCGAGGTTCCAGAATTAAGAATCCAGACGAGGGGTATGGATACCTTTGCGGCTCTCGGGTTTAAGCTCTTGAGGTTTCGGGATCTTTTCCCGCTGCCGGTTGCAAGACATGACACCCGCTACAGGCACCACAAGCTTCAATCCAGGGACGTGCTGGAAAGGGGTGTCCGCAACACGGCCCCAGGGATCCTGGAGCATACTGCCAGGCTTTATGGTGCCCGCAAATAATATATAAATAATCTTAATAGGGTTTTGGGGCCCATTATACTATACTTATAACAAGGAACCCCCAAAATAGTATTGGTAGTTATTTAGGCCCCTACATGAAGCTGGCACTCCCTGGAACCGAGCCAAGAAAGCTTCTTTACACATGAGCTTGAAAGCATGAAACCCTATATCTTTTCATGACCCTTAGACTATACTAAACCCATGACGCTGGTAGAACCCTTTAGCAGAACCCTTATCGAAGCTCCATTCCCGCAGAGCCCCGTGAAACCTGTATACAACCTCTTAAAACCCGTGTATAGAACTTACAAAAACTCTGACACTCTTATGACACGCTGTAAAACCCTCTTGCCAACCCTTATCCCGCCATAGAGCCACTAAGCTCACTATACCCTGTAGAACCCGCATAAACACCGTATGCCCTAAACCTATAAAACCGTTTCTAGCACCCTCACACCCCTGTAATGTAGGGGCCTTAATAATTAGAATAGGGTTTTGGGGCCCAGTATACTATATTTATTCTAAGGAAGCCCCAAAATAGTATTGGGAATTATTTAGGATCATTTAGGCTCCTATCAGCACAAAGCAAACCGCCCAAGCCTTGCCCTGGTGAGGGCGCCGGAACATGCGGGCCAGGCGGAGTGGAGGGTGGCAAAGCCTGGGTTTTTAGGGTTGGCGACGATGATGCTTGTCGGTTTAGGGCTTTTAGGGCTTAGGGCGACTATGCTTGTCGACCTTATAGCTCAAAGATTACGGATTACGGCTGGAGCGTTGAAGGTGTAAGGCTGCAAGGATTTTGTAAAGTTTAAGGTTTAGCGGGCTGGTGGTCGATCTTTTGTGTCCGACCCCAGCAGTGTAAGAGCGTAAGGGCTTGGGGTCTCAGGTTTCTGGAACGCGAGTTCAAGCCTCGAGGCTGTTGTCAAATTTCTGATAGATACTCCAAGTTGCCGGGCTTCGAGGTTCAGGGTTCACGGTTTAAGGCCTTCGGGGGTTTAAGCCTTTTGGTTCAAGGTCAAGCGTTGATTTGGCATCTGGGGCTTCGAGTGTACCTAGGGAGCCCCACCGTTGTCTCTTAGCAGTTTAGGATTTTTGTTTCCAGGTTTTGTGGGTGCAGGGCTGAAATGCCAAGCTTCAGCTCTTTGACGGGAAATACCACGTCGGTGTTTGGTGGGGGGTAAGTAATTATCAAGGTCGGTTCTATTGCAGCCAGGCAAAGCGAACGACCCAAACACCCAAGCGGCGGAAATCCCAAAATCCTTCATGCACCATATCATGTTTGGGCTGTGCGGATAAGGACTTCCAAATTGGAAATTCAGGCATCTCAGCGGCAATATAACTCTCCAGGAACTACTGCAATTTTCCATCCAAATTGCCCTCGGCAGTGTGAAAACCCTGATCAAACTTTTGGGATGGTTTCCTAGGTTGGCCCTCGAAAGCCTCTGAACGATATGTGTGAATAACATCCTCAGGCCCGATAAGGGAACATGTAACACATACGGAAGGCCTGCCTAGTTTCCAAACGGCCCTTCCCTGACGGAAATCCAGCAGCCCCATGCTCCGAAGACTGATCCCAAGGATGGCCGAGCTCTTTTTCAGCATGGGCTTGGATTGTGTGCCAGCGAACACACCTCAACAGCAGGGCCCTCTCGTTTAGCCAGGGATGCAACCGGAGGAGTGACAGAATGGCCAAGCTCTAAACCCCAAACCCTAAGGCCACAAACCTAAAGCCTAAACCCTAAAGCTTAAACCCTAAAGCTTAAACCCTAAAGCCCCAAGCCCTAAAGCCCTAAAGCCCTAAAGCCCTAAAGCCCTAAAGCCTCAAGCCTAAAACCCTAAAGCCTCCGAGCTCCCCGGCACCCTACAGTAGAAGCCCAAAAGTTGGAAACCCAATATCCTCAAGCCTTGAGAGTGATGTGTATATAGCGAATCCGAGCACTAATTGTCCTTAATCCGGTTTCCAGTTTTTTGGAGGGGTTACTATGAAGCCCTACCTAGGGGAGATGTCTACAGCCCGCGAAATCCTGAAACCCTCAACTCGAACTCTAAAGGCCCCGAACCCCAAAGCCCGAAAACGCACCAACAACTCAGGGACAAGCCGTCGCTAAGGCTGTCCGTGGGGTACCAGGTCGCGGCAGCTTCGGCATAGCCTCCCCTGTCCTTGGGCTACTAGAGTTCAGAGGTAGTTTGTGGGTTGCCGTGAGGGATACTTGGGGGAGTGCTATGAGGCCCTGCAAACCCCTGGCAATTCTCCTTAGACTCTGTGCCCCTAGGAAGTGGCTAGCCGAAACGAACAAGAACTCACGCTTATATAAGCCCTAAACCCTACACCCTAGAACCCTAAACCCTGAAACCCTAAAACCCTAAATCCCGAAACCCTAAACTCCTAAACCCCAAATTCGCTAAACCCTAAAGCCCCAAACCCAACGACGAGACTCCTGGGCTCCAGGATCCGAAACCTTCACCGCACTAAACGTTCTTCTACGGGCTATAGGGTTTTAGGGTTTAGGGTTTTAGGGCTTTAGGGCTTTAGGGTTTGGATTTAGGGTTTAGGTTTTAGGATTTTTTCACTCTCAGGTTTTAGGATTTTGGGTTTTAAGGCTTTAGGGTTTAGGAACCCCCTCTAAACCCACAGCTGCCCAAGCGTACAGCAATCCACGTACAGAGCTCCCAAATCCCAAACCCCCAACAGCTTAGACAAAACTCCATAGATGCCACACAGCATATAAAGCCTAAACTCTGCAAAGCTTTCTGTCAAAACTCCCCGAAGCCCTAAACAACACTCCTAAAGCCCCGATACCCGAAACTCATAAACAATTCTAAACCCCAAAGCCTGAATTTCTTAGAATCTCAACCCCAAGCCGTCAACCCCTTAAAGGATCCTCTAAAGGAGCCCAGTAAAGCGCCCTTAAAAGGGTTCGTCTAAAGGGACGCTGTAAAGGATCCCTTTAAAGGAACCTGTAAAGGATCCCTTTAAAGGAGCCCTTTTTAAATTTTTAAAGGAGCCCTTTTAAAAGGATCCCTTTGTAAAGGAGCCCTTTGAGGCACTGGCCCCTTGGAGATGGGCCCCGGCCCTCCGGGAAGACCAGGGCCTTGCAACAAAAGTAAGAAGGCGATAGCTTCGGTGCCTTTAAAGGTCTAGGGTTTAGGGTGCTATAGGGGTCAATGTGGTCATGTGGTATAGAAGGGCCTCTAAAGGCGTCTGAAAGGATTTAGAGTAAAAGGGCCAGCAACTAGAATAAGGCTCCTTGAAGGGTTCCTTCTAGTTGTAAAATACAAGGGGGTCTTATTCATAATCGGAATAAGGCTCGTCTAGGGTTCGGTTAAGGGTTTAGGGTTTAGGGTTGGTATAAAGGTGTAGGACTGAGTAGGGTCTACTATACAGGGGCCTTCAAAATCGCGGGAGGGTTTCGGGATGTACTTTTAGTGTGCCCGGGGCAGTGTTACTAAGTATTCAGGCATTGTGCTATCCTATTCTAGCGAGGGCTATAGCAAGGATCGACATAAGGGAGGTGATTGGGTTGCAGGATATACTGGAAGGGTCAAAACAAGGATTGCAAACGGAAAGCTGCAACAGGATTATAAGTTTGTAGTCAGAGCTTAAGCCTTAAGCTTATGGAGTTCATGAAACTCTATGTTGGTATGGCCGGGATAGAGGGTTCTGATGAATACTTACAGAAAGGATATTCAATTCTGGCACGGTTGTTAGGGATTAGAGTTTAGAGGTTTAGGTTTCGGGGACGTTTTTTTGCCTCCCGCGCGTAGGATCTTCTACTCAGTTTTGTATCGTGGGGTTGCAACTGACGCGGCTGCTTCATCAGGACTTGTACGCGAGATTGGTTTCAGACCTTATGCTTTGGAGCCTTTTTTTTTGCAACTGGCTTGCAACGTCACGAGCCCTAAACCCTAAACCCGCACTAGGTCGGCCTTGAGGCTGGCTTTAAACCCTGGCACAAACCCGTAGGCAGCATATATTTACAAGACCTCAAGTCTCTCCATAGGGTTCAGGGTTTATGTTTAGGGTTTAGGGTTCAGGGTTTAGGGTTCAGGGTTTAGGTTTAGGGTTTAGGGTTTAGGTTTAGGGTTTGGAGTTTAGGGTTTGGGGTATAGGGTTCAGGGTTTAGGGTCTCGACCCAAAAACATCACCACGAAGCCCTGAGCGCCAACACCTTGGCAGTTGCTGAGACTACATGTTGTTTTGGGTTTAGGCCGCTTCCCCGTCTCCTAAACTCTAAACCCTAAACCCTACAGTCCTAAACCCTAAACTCCTAAACCCTAAACCTTAAATCCTAAACCTAAACCCTA